GAAGAAGAAGAAGAAGAAGAAGAAGAAGAAGAAGAAGAAGAAGAAGAAGAAGAAGAAGAAGAAGAAGAAGAGGAGGAGGAGGAGGAGGAGGAGGAGGAGGAGGAGAACTGGGAGGAGGAGAAAGGGGGAAAGTAAGGGGGAGAGGATGGAAGGGGAGGCAGGAGATGGAAGGAGAGAGCGACTGAGAGAGAAAGAAGCATGTTTTTGGAGGGCCTGAAGGGTTGGAGGGCAGGGAAGGTGGGGTGAGAGAGAGGAGGAGAAGGTCGGGTCCCCCAAACTTTACCTGCCCAAATTGCACACTCCTCCCTTCCAGCAAGGCCTTCCACAAAGCTTGGTTGATCATGGCTACCCAACTCTTCACACAATCAGTGACTCTCAACATAAAGACCTAAATTAGAGTTTCTCAGCCACTTGGACTTCAACTCCCAGAATTCCCCTCACCCAGCAGAAACCCATGGGGGATCTCCACCCTGGCCCCACCCCCTGCCCCCACTGAGGCTGCTTGGGAGTTCCTGCTGCAAACTCCCATGTTTGGGGGCCTCTCAGCTGGGGTCCTCTCCCCACACTCAGCCTCTGTTGGGAGCGTCCTGACACCTTTAAAGCCCCTCTGGCGAATTCAAGAAAAACATACAAAATTATATCAGTTTCTATCGTGCAAACTCCTGACCGAGTACCATCAAAGTTTGTTCAGCCCTGCCTTGGAGGACAGCTAAATTCACAAGATATAAAATATGCCAAATGTTACTAACAATGACAAAAAAAAGTCACATTAAGACACCATTTAGTTTTCACTGTCAAAATACAAACACGGAAGAGACTCTGAGGCTGCCCAATGAACAGGGAAAAAAAACAGCTTGTAAGTGGATTAAAAGAATCAAAAGAAAAAAAAATGCTCCTGGGAAATCGATTAAGCTGATGAAAATCCCCAAGGCCCCTTCTTGGTGTCCATTTTGAAAGCTCTTCAGACCAGAAATTCTTCCAGGGCACCAAAGAGTTTAAAGATCATTTTCAGGATTGTTCACGGGATTTATTTGGG